ACACCAAATAGAGTGGACTACAAAAAAAAATCCCCTCGCCACATAATAATCAAGACCCCAAACATACAGAATAAAGAAAGAATATTAAGAGCAGCTAAGGAAACAGATCAAGTAACATATAAAGGCAGACCTATCAGAATTACACCTGATTTCCCCATAGAAACGCTGAAAGCCAGAAGGTCCTGGATAGATAGTCTACCTACAATAAGAGACCATGGATGTCAGCCCAGACTACTATACCCGGCAAAGCTCTCAATCACTATAGACAGAGAAAACAAGATATTCCATGACAAAACTAGATTCGCGCAATATGTGTCCACTAACCCAGCCCTATAGAAAATTTTGGAAGGAAAACTCCACCCCAAGGAAGCTAACTACAACCAGAAAAACATAAGCATTAGAGAATCCCTCTCTACCAACAGCCAAAAGAACAAAGGGGTGTAATTCCACACATAATTCCACCAACAACAACCATCGCAAATTGAAGAAGGATGAGCAATCAATGGTCATTAATATCCCTCAATATTAATGGCATTAACTCACCCATAAAAAGACACAGACTAGCAGAATGGATTCGAAGACAGAACCCTTCCTTCTGCTGCATACAAGAAACACACCTCACCCTCAAAGACAGACATTACCTGAGAGTTAAAGGTTGGGAAAAAATTTTCAATCAAATGGACCCAAGAAACAAGCAGGGGTAGCAATCCTAATATCTAAAGAACTAGACTTTAAAATAAAATCAATCAAAAGAGATGAAGGAGGTCATTACATACTCATCGCAGGTGAAACCCACCAAGATGAAGTGTCTATCTTGAACATCTATGCCCCAAATACAAAGGAATCCACATTCGTTAAAGAAACATCATTATGTCCCTGTTATCCCAGATATCTCCAAGACCTTTATCATGAAGGGGTGTTGGATTTTGTCAAAGGCTTTTTCAGCATCTAGTGAGATGATCATATGATTTTTGTTTTTCAGCTTGTTTATATGGTGGATTACGTTGATGGATTTTGGTATGTTGAGCCATCCCTGCATCCCTGGGATGAAACCTACTTGATCGTGGTGAATGATTGTTTTGATGTGTTCTTGGATCCGATTTGCCAGTATTTTATTGAGTATTTTTGCATCAATGTTCATGAGGGATATTGGTCTGAAGTTCTCTTTCTTAGTTGTATCTTTGTGTGGCTTGCGGATCAAGGTTATTGAAGCCTCATAGAAAGAGTTTGGCAAAGACCCTTCTGTTTCTATTGTGTGGAACACTTTGAGAAAAATTGGTATAAGCTGTTCTTTGAATTTCTGGTAGAATTCTGCACTGAGGCCGTCTGGACCTGGGCTTTTTTTGGTTGGGAGACTTTTGATGACAGCTTCCATTTCCATCGGGGTTATAGGTCTATTTAAATTGCTTATCTGTTCTTGATTTAGTTTTGGCAATTGATAGCTGTCCAGGAAGTCATCCATTTCCTTTAAATTTTCGAATTTTGTGGAGTACAGGTTTTCAAAGTATGACCTAATGATTCTCTGGATTTTCTCAGAATCTGTTGATATGTCCCCCTTTTCATTTCTAATTTTGTTAAATTGCGTGTTCACTCTCTGCTGTTTGGTAAGTTTGGACAAAGGTTTGTCTATCTTGTTGATTTTCTCAAAGAACCAACTCTTCGTTGCATTGATTCTTTGTATTGTTTTCCTGGTTTCTACTTTATTGATTTAAGCCCTCAATTTGATTATTTCCTGGCGTCTACTCCTCCTGGGGGTGTGCTTCTTTGTGTTCTAGAGCTTTCAGCTGTGATATAAATTCTCTGGTATAACTGTTCTCCTGTTTCTTCATGTGAGCACTTAGTGCTATGAACTTCCCCCGTAGCACTGCTTTCAAAGTGTCCCATAGGTTTGGGTATGTTGTGTCTTCATTCTCATTGAATTCGAGGAAGTCTTTAATTTCTTTTTTTATTTCCTCTTTGACCCAGGGATGGTGCAGTTGAGCATTATTCAATTTCCATGAGTTTGTAGGTTTTCTGCAATTTGTGTTGTTGTTGAATTCTAATTTTAAAGCATGGTGGTCTGATAAGATGCATGGAGTTATTCCAATTTTTTTGTAGCTGCTGAGGTTTGATATGTTGCCAAGTATGTGGTCTATTTTTGAGAAGGTCCCATGTGGTGGTGAGAAGAAGGTATATTCTTTTTTATGTGGATGAAATGTTCTATAGATATCTGTTAATCCCAGTTGGGTCATTACTTCTATTAGACCTTTTGCTTCTTTGTTGAGTTTCTGTTTGGTATTCCTGTCTAGTGGTGAGAGTGGTGTGTTGAAGTCTCCCACTATAACTGTGTGGGGCTTTAGATGAGGTTTAAGTTCTAATAATATTTCTTTAAGGAATGTGGATGCCTTTGTATTTGGGGCATAGATGTTCAGGATAGACACTTCATCTTGGTGGGTTTCACCTGTGATGAGTATGTAATGACCTCCTTCATCACTTTTGATTGATTTTATTTTAAAGTCTAGTTTGTTAGATATTAGGGTTGCTACCCCTGCTTGTTTCTTGGGTCCATTTGATTGAAAAATTTTTTCCCGACCTTTAACTCTCAGGTAATGTCTGTCTTTGAGGGTGAGGTGTGTTTCTTGTATGCAGCAGAAGGAAGGGTTCTGTCTCGAATCCATTCTGCTAGTCTGTGTCTTTTTATGGGTGAGTTAAGACCATTAATATTGAGGGAAATTAATGACCATTGATGGCTCTTCCTTCTTCGATTTGCGATGGTTGTTGTTGGTGGAATTATGTGTGGAATTTCACCCCTGTCTTCTTTTGGCTGTTGGTAGAGAGGGATTCTCTAATGCTTATGTTTTTCTGGTTGTAGTTAGCTTCCTTGGGTTGGAGTTTTCCTTCCAAATTTTTCTGTAGGGCTGGGTTAGTGGACACATATTGCTTGAATCTAGTTTTGTCATGGAATATCTTGTTTTCTCCGTCTATAGTGATTGAGAGCTTTGCCGGGTATAGTAGTCTGGGCTGGCATCCATGGTCTCTTAGTGTAGGTAGAATATCTATCCAGGACCTTCTGGTTTTCAGCGTTTCCATGGAGAAATCAGGTGTAATTCTGATAGGTTTGCCTTTACAAGTTACTTGACATTTTTCCTTAGCTGCTCTTAATATTCTTTCTTTATTCTGTATGTTTGGGGTCTTGATTATTATGTGGTGAGGGGACTTTTTTTGTGGTCCATTCTATTTGGTGTTCTGTAGGCTTCTTGTACCTTCATTGGCATGTCTTTCTTAAGGTTGGGAATTTTTACTTCTATGATTTTGTTGAATATGCCTTCTGCCCCTTGGAGGTGGATTTCTTCTCCTTCTTCTATACCTATTATTCTTAGGCTTGGTCTTTTCATGGTATCCCATATTTCCTGGATGTTTTGTGTTAAGGATTTGTTGGATTTAAGGTTTTCTTTGGTTGATAAATGCATTTCTCCTAGTGTATCTTCAACACTTGAGATTCTCTCTTCCATCTCTTCTATTCTGTTGGTCATGCTTGTATTGGTAGTGCCTGACTGTTTGTCCAGCTTTTCTATTTTCTGCCTTTCTTCAGATTGTGTTTTTTTAATGACTCTATTTCAGTTTTCAACCCTTGCAGTGTTTGCATTGCTTCTTGCAATTTTCTGTTTATCTGTTCGTCTGTTTGTTGCCTTTTATGAATTTTTTGGTTTGTTCTTTCTTCCATTTCTTGCATTTTTTGGTTTGCTTTTTGTTCCATTTCTCACATTTTGTGCTTTGTTTCTTCTTCCATTTCCTGCTGTTTTTGGTTTGTTTCTTCTTCCATTTTTTTCATTTTGTGCTTTGTTTTTTCTACCATTTCTTGCATTTTTTGCTTTGTTTCTTCTTTGATTTCCTGCCTTTTTTGGTATGCTTCTTCTTCCAATTCTTGCATTTTTTGCTTTGTTTTTTCTTCCATTTCTTGCATTTTTGGTTTGTTTTTTCTTCCATTTCTTTGACGGATTTTCCAATATCCTCTTTTAGGGCCTCTATCATTTTCAGGAAAGTGCTTTTAAGGTCGTTCTCTTCTGCTTCGTTCGCATTGGAATGTTGGGTCCTTGTTGGTGTGGAGTCTCTAGAATCTGGCGGTGTCATATTTGTTTTTCTGTTGCTGACTGTGTTTTTGTATTGTCTCTTTCCCATCTCTTCTTCTAGTGGGTGCAGAAAGAGCCCCTTACTGGTCTGGGGGCCAGAGTTCCCTTTTGGTGGGTGCTAGCAAGTCCAATAATGTGGTGGTTCTTCTATTCCTTGCCTGAATGCTGGTCCCGTGGGTGGAGAAGAATAGGAATCTGGGGTGCTTATCCTCTTACCTGGTCCCCTGGACCCTATGCTGGGTCCTTTTGTACCTGATCCAGAACAGCTACTCCCCTGGTCTCCGTGGGTCCTCTGGTTTCCTACTCTCGTTGGTGGGAGAGAAATCTGGAGTCTGGGGTGCTTGGCTCCCGCCAGGATTGGGAGCTCTGTGCAGGTCCCAGGCGATCTGCAGGCACTGGAGCACAGGCCTGGAAGCCGGCCTGTTTACCTGATGCTGCTGGAGGAACAGCTGCTTTCCTGAACTCCCAGCCTCCTCTCCTTTCCTGGTCTCGTTGGCAGGAGAGAAGATCTGGAGTCTGGGGTGCTTGGCTCCCGCTGGGATTGGGAGCTCTGTGCAGTTCCCAGGCGATCTGCAGGCACTAGAGCACAGGCCTGGAAGCAGGCCTGTTTACCTGATGCTGCCGGAGGAACAGCTGCTTCCCTGGACTCCCAGCCTCCTCTCCTTTCCTGGTCTCGTTGGCGGGAGAGAAGATCTGGAGTCTGGGGTGCTTGGCTCCCGCCGGGATTGGGAGCTCTGTGCAGTTCCCAGGCGATCTGCAGGCACTGGAGCCAAGCCAAACCCTTATATAGCTCAGCAGTCCCTGCCTGGGATGTGTCATCTCCTGACTGGCTCCTGCTCATCAGCCCATATGACGCCACGGGAGAGGCAGAGAGTAAGGGATGGAATAGTAGCAGGCACATACACACCAAGGTTGTTTACTCCAACTGACAACGCGTGTCAGCGCCATCTTGCAACGGAGAATGTGGGGGCGGCTCCCCACAAGATGGTAAAATAGTTTCACCAGGCCTATAATATGCCCTTCCCATGGTCCATCAGCTCATGCATTGAATGCGGGCAGTGAGGATGAAGATGAAACCTTTGATGGGTTAATCTTGGCTAGGTGTGGCAAAAGGTAACTGCATTTGCCATTTATCATTTCCTACCCCTAAGCACTGATTATCAATTCACCCAATCATCACAAAGTATATATGGGTCTTTCCATACCTGAGCATTGCAATGCCGCTGACACTGACCTACAAATTCGGAAAAATAAAATTTTCCTTAACTGAGACAACTGATTCTGCTTGATATAGTGCAGGAGTCTAATGCCCGCTGACCATTTGTGTGAAGATGCCGAGACTTACCTTCTGAATAGATGATATTTGTCATCCTGGTAAGTAGCACAGTTTGTGTCCCACTATCAGGTATAGCTATGCCTTCTGATGACACGGGTCTATGATGACAAACCTACGTCATCAATAGAGGTGATGACATAAATATTATGCTCTGGTTCCAGCTGCTGAGGCCTGGGTTAAAGGACAGGGGATAAATGAGGGACTAATGCCATCTGGCCTTTCCCATTGGTCCATGCACAAGTCATCATTCACCCAGCAGTGTTTCCCTTCTGGGAAATCCTGTTAAGTCCATGTGCCCTTCTCAAGAGGAGAATGAGTCCTTCCAAGGAAGGCACATTTTGGCATAATCAAAGTATATCCAGGTATAAGCACACTGCTCATTTCCTTCTATTCTCTTCTGTATTTCAGTGAAAGAGGATGCAGTCTTGGTTTCTCAATCATTTCACCTTCAGGCACGTCGAAATATCAGCTTAAGTACCAAGGTCTCCTTTGGATATCCTCATTTAAACATTAGAAAACAAGACTTTCTAGGAATCAAATGAGATCTAAGCCATAAAACTTGGGTACACCCTTCCTTTTCTGCAATCCAATCTGACTAAGATCATGATGAAAGGATGGTAATTAAAGATGCCTTGTCTTTTAGAATTCCAATTAGTAGGTATTGGGTAACTGGGATGTGAATTTTCGAACAGGTGGGACACAAGAAATGGATCAGTACTTTCATTCCATTGTAATTACACAGCACATTGACAATTGAATGTAATTTCAAATACCTTCCATACTGATTTTTACTGCCTTGGCAAGAGCTTTATGATCTCACTGTTACAGGAAGTATTCATGCTCCAGTCTTGCATAGATTTTGCTCAAGAGAGTCCTATTGGCAGGCACAGGAGTGCAGGGAGATCAGTAGGATACTTTCTGAGGGACAAAGGAAGACAGAGACTCACAGTGTAATAGTGGACTAATGTACACATCAGTGAGTTAAACTCAGATACCATTTCTTTTTGTTAGGATTAGTGAACTTGTCCTGATATACAGGCAACAGACCACATGAGTCATTTCGACAATGTACACCTGGAAATGCATAACACTCTTGGCATAGATGCACAGGCTCAGCATTTTGTGGATACCCACTCACCACACTTAAGTGGCATAAAATTTAAAACACATGATGTCATCCCAAGCTATAAAGGCCTCCATCCTTCCTGTGACAAGGCAGTGTAAGAGAACAGGTGAAGGGATCCTATGCATGTAGTGCTTTGGCAGTAATGATACTTGAGGTTATACATCCTACAATGGTGTGTACTCATTGATATCAGAGTGAAATAGGATAGCATTGTGGAGAGTAGATGGGATATCTTGAACCTAGTGAGACACAGGGAATGATCAGGTGGTACATGTTTTAACCAGACCTATAATATGCCCTTCCCTTGGTCTGTCACCTCATGCATTGAATGCTGGCAGTAAGGATGATTAGGAAACCAGTGATGTGTTAATGTAGGCTAGGTGTGGCAAAAGGTATCTGCATATGCAATTTATCATTATGTACACCTACACACTGATTACAAATGCGCACAATCATCACAATGTAGATATCGGGCATTCCAAACTTGAACATTGCGATTGTGCTGACACCGACTTGCAAACTTGGAACCATAAAATTTTCTTCACTGAGAAACTGATTCTGCTTGATACCCTCAGGATTCTAATGCCCGCTGGCTATTTGTGTGAGGGTTTCCTAGACATACCATCAAGATAGATGGTCTTCGTCATCCTGGATAGCAGCAATTTTTGTGCCCCACAAGCAGGTATAGCTATGCCTTCTGAGAAATGAGGGACAAATCCCAATAGGCCTTATTCATAGGCCAGTTCACAGGCCCTCATGCACCCAGCAGTGTTTCCCTTCTGGGGAATCCTGTTAAGTCCATGTGCCCTTCTCTAGGTGAGCATGAGTCCTGCGAAGGAAGGTCCTTTTTGGCAAAATCTAAGTATGTGCAGCTGGACAGCATGAGGACACTGCTCATTTCCATCTATTCTCTTATGCATTTCAGTGAATGAGGATGCAGTCTTGGTTTCTCAATCATTTCACCTTGAGATACATGGAAATATCAGCTTAAGTACCTAGGTCTCCTTGGATATCCTCCTTCAAACATTAGAAACAAGACTTTCGAGGAATCAAATGAAATCTAAGCCATAAAACTTGGGTACTCCATTCCATTTTGGAATCCAATCTGACTAAAACCATGATAAAAAGATTGTAATTAAAGATACCTTGTCTTTCAGAATTCCAATTAGTTGGTATTGGGTAACTGAGCTGTGAATTTTTGAACAGGTGGGACACAAGAAATGGATCAGTACATTCATTCCATTGTAATTACACAGCACATTTTCAGGTGAATGAATTTTCAAATACCTTCCATACTGATTGTTACTGCCTTGGCAAGAGCTTTATGTTCTCACTATGCCAGGAAGTATTCATGCTCCAGTCTTGCATATATGTTGCTCAGGAGTATCCCGTCTGCAGACACAGGAGGGCAGGGAGATCACTAGGGTACCTTTCTGAGAGTCAAAGGAAGACAGAGACTCACTGTTCTAGTGGACTAATGTACACATCAGTGACTTAAACTCAGATATCATTTCTTTTTGTTAGGATTAGAGAACTTGTCCTGATATGCAGGCAACAGAGGCTTTCGACTATGTGTAACTGGACCTGAATTATCCTCATGGCATAGATACACAGGCTCAGCATTATGTGGATACCCACTCACCACACATAAGTGGCATAAAATTTAAAACACATGATGTCATCCCAAGCTATAAAGGGCTGCATCCTTCCTGTGACAAGGCAGTGTAAGAGAACAGGTGAAGGCATCCTATGAATATGGGGCTTTGGCAGTTAAGAAACTTGAGGTTATACATCCTACAATGGTGAGTACTCAGTGATGTCAGAGTGAAATAGGATAGCTCTGTGCAGAGCAGATGAGAAGTATTGAACCTAGTGAGACACAGTGAATGATCAGATGGTAAAATGTTTTCACCAGGCCTATAATATGCCCTTCCCATGGTCTGTCAACTCATACATTGAATGCTGGCAGTGAGGAAGATAAGGAAACCAGTGATGTGTTAATCTAGGCTAGATGTGGCAACAGGTAAATGCATTTGCAATTTATCATAATGTACCAATACACACTGATTATAAATGCACATAATCTTCACAATGTAGATATTGGGCACTAAACCTGAGCATTGTGATTGAGCTGACACTGACTTGCAAATTTGGGCCATAAAATTTTCTTCACAGAGACAACTGATTCTGCTTGATACCCTCAGAATTCTAATGCCCACTGATCATTTGTGTGAAGATTGCCAAGACCTACCTTCAAGATAGATGGTCTTTGTCATCATGGTAAGCAGCACTGTTTGTGTCCCACTAGCAGGTATAGCTATGCCTTCTGAGGACACGGGTCTATGATGACAAACCAACGTCATGAAGAGAGGTGATGACATAAATATCATGCTGAGGTTGGGGCTGCTGAGGCCCAGGCTAAAGGACAGGGGAGAAATGGGGGAATAATCCCATCAGGCCTTTCTCATAGGCCATTGCACAGGCCCTCATTCACCCAACAGTGTTTCCCTTCTGGGGAATCCTGTTAAGTCCAGGTGCTCTTCTTTAGGGGAGCATGTGTCCTGCCAAGGGAGGCACTTTTTGTCGAAATCTATATATGTCAAGTTGACCGGCATCAGCACACTTCTCATTTCCATCTCTTCTCTTCTGCATTTCAGTAAACGAGGAGGCAGACTTTATGCCCCAATCTTTTCACCTTCAGGTAGGTGGAAATATCAGCTTATTTACCTACCTGTCCTTTGAATATCCTCCTTTAAAAATTAGATAACAAGACCTTCTTGGAATCCAGTGAAATCTAAGCAATAAAACTTGGGATCTCCCTTCCTTTAGGGAACCCAATCTGACTTAGACCATGATAAAAGGGTGGTCACTGAAGATTTCTTGTCCTTTAGATTTCCAATTAGTAGATATTTGGTAACTGAGTTGTGAATTTTGGAAAAGATGGGACACAAGAAATGGGTCAGGACTTTCAGGTCATTCAAATCAAACAGTTCATTGATAAGTGAATGTATTTTTAAATACCTTCCATAATGATTGTTACTGCCTTGGCAAGACCTTCATGTTCTTTCTGTGCCAGGATGTATTCATGCCCCAGTCTTGCATAGATGATGCTCAGGGGTGTCCAGGAATTTTCAGGCCCAGGATTGCAAGGAGATCACTTGGTTACATTTCTGAGGGTCAAAAGGGAGACAGTGACTCACATTGCTCTTGGGGAATAATGTGCACAACAGAATAATAAATTTAGAAACCAATTTTTGTTAGGATTAAGGAACTTGTCCTGATATGCAGGCAACAAGCCACATGAGGCAATACAACAATGTGCAACTGGACAGGCATTGCCCTCTTGGCATAGAAGCACAGGCTCAGCATTATGTGGATAACCACTCACCACACATAAGTGACATGAGACCAGGCTAAAAACAGGGGAGAAATGGGGGACTATTCCCATCAGGCCTTTCTCATAGGTCAGTGCACAGGCCCTCATTCACCCAGCAGTGTTTCCCTTCTGGGGAATCCTGTGAAGTCCAGGTGCTCTTTTTTAGGGGAACTTGAGTCCTGCCAAGGAAAGCACTTTTTGGCGAAATCTATGTATGTCAATCTTGCCAGCATCAGCAATCTGCTCATTTCCATCTCTTCTCTTCTGAATTTCTGTGAATGAGGATGCACTCTTGGTGGCTCAATCATTTCACCTTCACGTTCTTCGAAATATCAGCTTAAGTACCTAGGTCGCCTTTAGATATCCTCCTTCAAAATTAGAAAACAAGACCTTCTAGGAATCCAGTGAAATTTAAGCCAGAGAACCTGGGTTCCCCTTCCTCTTTGGAATCCAATCTGACTAAGACCATGAAAAAAGGATGGAAATTAAAGATTCCGTGTTATTTTCATTTTCAGTAGTAGGTCTTGGTTAACTGAGCTGTGAATTTTCAAACAGATAGGACACATGAAATGGGTGAAGAAGTTCAGTCCATTTTCCCATTTTCCTTGCACAGCTCATTGATAGCTGAAAGTATATTTCAAATACTTTCCATGCTGATTGTTACTGCCTTGGCCACAGCTTCATGTTCTCACTGTGGCAGGATGTATTCATGCTCCAATATTGCATAGATGCTGCACAGGAGTGTCAAGTGTGAAGGCACAGGACTGCAGGGAGATCACTAGGTTACCTTACTGAGGGTCAAAAAGGAGACAGAGACTCACAGTTTACTAGTGGAGTAATGTACACATCTGTAAGTCAAACTCAGATAACTTTTCTTGTGTTAGGTTTAGAGAACTTGTCCTGCCATGCAGGCATCAGGTCACATGAAGCAATTTGACAGTTTGCAACTGACTAGGCATACCACTCTTGGCCTACATGAACAGGCTCTGCATCATGTGGTTACCCACTCACCAGACAAAATTCGCATGAAATGTCAAACTCATGAATGACATCCCAAGTTATAAAGGCCACCATCTTTAATGTGATAAGGAATTGGCTAAGATGACAGTTGAGGGCATGCTCTGCATGTGGTGCTTAGGCAGTTAAGATACATGAAGTTATGCATCCTAAAATGGTGAGTAGTCAATAATGTCAGAGTGAAATGGGTAGCTCTAAGAAGAGCAGTTGAGATATCTTGGACCTTGTAAGACACAGGGAATGATCAGATGGTAAAGTGTTTTCACCAAGACTATAATATGCCCTCCCTATGTTGTTTCACCTCGTGCAATAAATGCTGGAAGTGCGGATGAGGATGAAAACTGTGAGGGGTTAAACTTGGCTAGGTGTGCAAACAGGTAAATGCATTTGCAATTTACCATTATGTACCACAAAGCCCTGATTATGAATGCACCCAATCATCATAATCTAAGTTTTGAGCATTCCAAACCTGAGCATTGCAATTCTGCTGACACTGATTTTCAAATTTGGAACCCTAATGTTTTCCTTGACTGAGACAACTGCTTCTGGTTGATACCCTGCAGGAGTCTAATGCCCACGGACCATTTGTGTGAAGCTTGCCGAGACCTACCTTCAAGTTAGATGGTCTTTGTCATCCTGGTAAGCAGCACTGTTTTTATCCCATTAGCAGATATAGCTATGCCTTCTGAGGACACGGGTCTATGATGACAAACCAAAGGCATGAAGAGAGGTGATGACAAAATATCATGCAGAGGTTGTGGCTGCTGAGGCCCAGGCTAAAGGACAGGTGTGAAATGGGGGACTAGTGCCATCAGGCCTTTCTCATAGGCCAGTGCACAGGCCCTCATTCATCCAGGAGTGTTTCCCTTCTGGGGAATCCTGTTAAGTCCAGGTGCTCTTCTTTAGGGGAGCATGAATCCTGCCAAGGAAGGCACTTTTTGGCGAAATCTATGTATGTCAAGCTGACCAGAATCAGCACACTTCTCATTTCCATCTCTTCTCTTCTGCATTTCAGTAAACGAGGATGCTGACTTTGTGCCCCAATCTTTTCACCTTCAGGTAGGTGGAAATATCAGCTTATGTACCTACGTGTCCTTTGGAAATGCTCCTTCAAACATTAGATAACAAGACCTTCTTCGAATCCAGTGAAATCTAAGCCATAAAACTTGAGTTCTCCCTTCCTTTAGGGAACCCAATCTGACTTAGACCATGATAAAAGGATGGTCACTAAAGATTTCTTGTCTTTTAGATTTCCAATTAGTAGATATTTGGTAACTGAGTTGTGAATTTTGGAACAGATGGGACACAAGAAATGGGTCAGGACTTTCAGGCCACTCAAATCACACAGTTTATTGATAAGTGAATATATTTTTCATATATCTTCCATACTGATTGTTACTGCCTTGGCAAGAGATTCATGTTCTCACTGTGCCAGGACATATTCATGCTCCAGTCTTGCATAGATGTTGCTCAGGTGTGTCCCGGAGTGTTCAGGCCCAGGATTGCAGATAGATCACTACGTTACATTTCTGAGGGTCAAAAGGGAGACAGTGACTCACAGTGTTCTTGTGGAATAATGTACACAACAGTATAATGAATTTAGATACCAATTTTGTTTGTTAGTATTAAAGAACTTGTCCTGATATGCAGGCAACAAGCCACATGAGTCAATTTGACAATGTGCAACTGGACAGGCATTGCTCTCTTGCCATAGATGCACAGGCTCAGCATTATGTGGATACCCACTCACCACACATAAGTGACATGATATTTTTAACACAGGAATGTCATGCCAAGCTATATAGGCCTACATCCTTCATGTGATAAGGAATTGGGCAAGAGATCAGTTGAAGGGATCCTATGCAGGTGGTGCTTGAGAAGTTAAGAAACTTGAGGTTATACATCCTACAATGGTGAGTACTCAGTGATGTCAGAGGGAAGATGGATAGCTCTGTGCAGAGCAGAAGAGATGTCTGGATCCTAGTGAGACACAGTAAATGATCAGATAGTAGAATCCTTTCACCAGGCCTATAATATGCCCTTCTAATGGTCTGTCTCCTCATGCATTTAATGCTGGCAGTGCGGGTGAGGAGGAAACCAGTGAAGGGTTAATCTTGTCTAGGGGTGGCAAAACTAACTGAATTTGCAATTTACCATTATCTTCCCCTAAGGACCGATTATCAATGCACCCAATCATCGCAATGTAGATATTGTGCTTTCCAAAACTGAGCATTGCTATTCTGCTGACACTGACTTGCATCTTGGAACCAAAAATTTTCCTTGAATAAGACGACTGATTCTGCTTGATACCAAGCAGAAATCTAATACCCGATGACCATCTGTGTGAAGCTTGCCGAGACCTACCTTCTAAAGAGATGGTCTTTGTCATCCTGCAAAGCAGCACTGTTTGTATCCCACTAGCACGTATAGCTATGCCTTCTGAGGACACGGGTCTATGTTGACAAACCAACATCATGAAGAGAGGTGACGACATAAATATCATGCTGTGGTTGGCGCTGCTGAGACCCAGGCTAAAGGTCAGGGGAGAAATGGGGGAATAGTCCCATCAGGCCTTTCTCATAGGTCAGTGCACAGGCCCTCATTCACCCAGCAGAGTTTCCCTTCTGGGGAATCCTGTGAAGTTCAGGTGCTCTTCTTTAGGGGAGCATGAGTCCTGGTAAGGAAGGCACTTTTTGGCGAAATCCATGTATGTCAATCTTGCCAGCATCAGCAATCTGCTCATTTCCATATCTTCTCTTCTGCATTTCTGTGAATGAGGATGCACACTTGGTGGCCCAATCATTTCACCTTCACGTTCGTCGAAATATCGGCTTAAGTACCTAGGTCGCCTTTAGATATCCTCCTTCAAACATTAGAAAACAAGACCTTCTAGGAATCCACTGAAATTTAAGCCAGAGAACCTGGGTTCTCCTTCCTCTTTGGAATCCAATCTGACTAAGACCATGAAAAAAGGATGGAAATGAAAGATTCTGTGTTATTTGCAATTTCAGTAGTAGGTCTTGGTTTACTGAGCTGTTTATTTTCAAAGAAATAAGACACATGAAATGGGTGCAGAAGTTCAGTCCATTTTCCCGTTTTCCTTGCACAACTCATTAATAGGTGAAAGTATATTTCAAATACTTTCCATGCTGATTACTACTGCCTTGGCCACAGCTTCATGTTCTCACTGTGGCAGGATTTATTCATACTACAATATTGCATAGATGCTGCACAGGAGTGTCAAGTGTGAAGGCAAAGGACTGCAGAGAGATCACTAGGTTACTTTACTGAGGGTCAAAAGGAGACAGAGACTCACAGTGTACTAGTGGAGTAATGTATACATCTGTAAATCAAACTCAGATAACTTTTCTTGTGTTAGGGTTAGAGAACTAGTACTGCCATGCAGGCATCAGGTCACATGTAGCAATTTGATAGTTTTTAACTGACTAGGCATACCAATCTTGGCCTACATGAACAGGCTCTGCATCATGTGGTTACCCACTCACCAGACAAAATTCGCATGAAATGTCAAACTCATGAATGACATCCCAAGTTATATAGGCCACCATCTTTAATGTGATAAGTAATTGGCAAAGACGATAGTTGAGGGCATGCTCTGCATGTGGTGCTTAGGCAGTTAAGATAAATGAAGTTATGCTTACTAAAATGGTGAGTAGTCAATAATGTCATAGTGAAATAGGTAGCTCCACGAAGAGCAGTTGAGATATCTTGGACCATGTAAGACACAGGGAATGATCAGTTGGTAAAGTGTTTTCACCAAGACTATAATATGCCCTCCCTATGTTGTTTCACCTCGTGCAATAATTGCTGGAAGTGCCGATGAGGATGAAAACTGTGAAGGGTTAAACTTGGCTAGGAGTGCAAACAGGTAAACGCATTTGCAATTTACCATTATGTACCACAAAGCCCTGGTTATGAATGCACACAATCATCATAATCTAAGTTTTGAGCATTCCAAACCTGAGCATTGCAATTCTGCTGACACTGATTTTCAAATTTGAAACCCTAATATTTTCCTTGACTGAGACAACTGCTTCTGGTTGATACCCGCAGGAGTCTAATGCCCACGGACCATTTGTGTGAAGCTTGCCGAGACCTACCTTCAAGATAGATGGTCTTTGTCATCCTGGTAAGCAGCACTGTTTTTATCCCATTAGCAGATATAGCTATGCCTTCTGAGGACACGGGTCTATGATGACAAACCAAAGGCATGAAGAGAGGTGATGACAAAATATCATGCAGAGGTTGTGGCTGCTGAGGCCCAGGCTAAAGGACAGGTGTGAAATGGGGGACTAGTGCCACCAGGCCTTTCTCATAGGCCAGTGCACAGGCCCTCATTCACCCAGGAGTGTTTCCCTTCTGGGGAATCCTGTTAAGTCCAGGTGCTCTTCTTTAGGGGAGCATGAGTCCTGCCAAGGAAGGCACATTTTGGCGAAATCTATGTATGTCAAGGTGACCGGCATCAGCACACATCTCATTTCCATCTCTTCTCTTCTGCATTTCAGTAAACGAGGATGCTGACTTTGTGCCCCAATCTTTTCACCTTCAGGTAGGTGGAAATATCAGCTTATGTACCTACGTGTGCTTTGGATATGCTCCTTCAAACATTAGATAACAAGACCTTCTTTGAATCCAGTGAAATCTAAGCCATAAAAATTGGGTTCTCCCTTCCTTTAGGGAACCCAATCTGACTTAGACCATGATAAAAGGATGGGCACTAAAGATTTCTTGTCTTTTACATTTCCAATTAGTAGATATTTAGTAACTGAGTTGTGAATTTTGGAACAGATGGGACATAAGTAATGGGTCAGGACTTTCAGGCCATTGAAATCACACAGTTTATTGACAAGTGAATATATTTTTCAAATATATTCCTTAATGATTGTTACTGCCTTGGCAAGAGATTGATGTTCTCACTGTGCCAGGACGTATTCATGCTCCAATCTTGCATAGATGTTGCTCAGGAGTGTCCCGGAGTGTTCAGGACCAGGATTGCAGGGAGATCACTAGGTTACATTTCTGTGGTTCAAAAGGGAGACAGTGACTCACAGTGTTCTTGTGGAATAATGTATACAACAGTATAATGAATTTAGATACAAATTTTGTTTGTTAGGATTAATGAACTTGTCCTGGCAGGCAACAAGCAACATGAGGTATTCGAAAATATGCAACTGGACAGGCATTGCCCTCTTGCCATAGATGCACAGGCTCAGCATTATGTGGATACCCACTCACCACACATAAGTGACATGATATTTTTAACACAGGAATGTCAGGCCAAGCTCTATAGGCCTCCATCCTTCATGTGATAAGGAATTGGGCAAGAGATTAGTTGAAGGGATCCTATGTATGTGATGCTTGAGAATTTAAGAAACTTGAGGTTATACGTCCTACAATGGTGAGTACTCAGTGATGTCAGAGGGAAGTTGGATAGTGCTGTGCAGAGCAGAAGAGATGTCTTGATACTAGTGAGACATAGTAAATGATCAGATGGTAGAATCCTTTCACCAGGTCTATAATATGCCCTTCTAATGGTCTGTCTCCTCATACATTGAATGCTGGCAGTGAGGTTGAGGAGGAAACCAGTGAAGGGTTAATCTTGGCTAGGTGTGGCAAAACTAACTGCATTTGCAATTTATCATTATCTTCCCTTAAGCACCGATTATCAATGCACCCAATCATCACAATGTAGATATTGGGCTCTCCAAAATTGAGCATTGTTATTCTGCTGACACTGACTTGCATCTTGGAACCATAAAATTTTCCTTGACTAAGAAGACTGCTTCTGCTTTATACCCTGCAGAAATCTAATACCCGATGACCATTTGTGTGAAGCTTGCCGAGACCTTCCCTCTAAAGAGATGGTCTTTGTCATCCTGCAAACCAGCACTGTTTGTATCACACTAGCATGTATAGCTACGCCTTCTGAGGACACTGGACTATGATGACAAACCAACATCATGAAGAGAGATGATGACATAAAAATCATGCTGTGGTTGGGGCTGCTGAGACTTAGGCTGAAGGACAGGGGAGAAATGGGGGAATAGTCCCATCAGGCCTTTCTCATAGGTCAGTGCACAGGCCCTCATTCACACATCAGAGTTTCGCTTCTGGGGAATCCTGTGAAGTCCAAGTGCTCTTTTTTAGGGGAGCATGGGTCCTGCCAAAGAAAGCACTTTTTGGCGAAATCTATGTATGTCAATATTGCCAGCATCAGCAATCTGCTCATTTCCATCTCTTCTCTTCTGCATTTCTGTGAATGAGGATGCACACTTGGTGGCTCAATTATTTCACCTTCACTTTCTTCGAAATATCAGCTTAAGTACCTAGGTCGCCTTTAGATATCCTCCTTCAAATATTAAAAAAAGACCTTCTAGGAATCCAGTGAAATTTAAGCCAGAGAACCTGGGTTCTCCTTCCTCTTTGGAATCCAATCTGACTAAGACCATGAAAAAAGGATGGAAATGAAAGATTCCGTGTTATTTACAATTTCAATAGTAGGTCTTGGTTAACTGAGCTGTGAATTTTCAAACAGATGGGACTCATAAATGGGTGAAGAAGTTCAGTCCATTTTCCCATTTTCCTTGCAAGCTCATTGATAGGTGAAAGTATATTTCAAATAATTTCCATGCTGATTGGTACTGCCTTGGCCAATGCTTCATGTTCTCACTGTGGCAGGATGTATTCATGCTCCAATATTGCATAGATGCTGCAGAGGAGTGTCAAGTGTGAAGGCACAGGACTGCAGGGAGATCACAAGGTTACCTTACCTAAGGTCAAAAAGGAGACAGAGACTCATAGTTTACTAGTGGAATAATGTACATATCTGTAAGTCAAACTCATATAACTTTTCTTGTGTTAGGTTTAGAGAACTTGGCCTGCCATGCAGGCATCAGGTCACATGAAGCAATTTGACAGTTTGCAACTGACTAGGCATACCAATCTTGGCCTACATGAACACACTCTGCATCATGTGGTTACCCACTCACCAGACAAAATTCGCATGAAATGTCAAACTCATGAATGACATCCCAAGTTATAAAGGCCACCATCTTTAATGTGATAAGGAATTGGCTAAGACGGCAGTTGAGTGCATGCTCTGCAAGTGGTGCTTAGGCAGTTTAGATACATGAAGTTATGCATCCTAAAATGGTGAGTAGTCAATAAGGTCAGAGTGAAATGCGTAGCTCTAAGAAGATGAGTTGAGATATCTTGGACCTATAAGACACAGGGAATGATCAGATGGTAAAGTGTTTTCACCAAGACTATAATATGCCCTTCCTAAGTTGTTTCACCTCATGCAATAAATGCTGGAAGTGCGGGTGCGGATGAAAACTGTGAAGGGTTTAACTAAGCTAGGTGTGCAAACAAGTAAATGCATTTGCAATTTACAATTATGTACACCAAAGCTCTGATTATGAATGCACCCAATTATAAAATAAATTTTGAGCAATCCAAACCTGGGCATTACAATTCTGCTGACAATGATTTTCAAATTTGGAACCCTAATGTTTTCCTTGACTGAAACAACTGCTTCTGGTTGATACCATGCAGGAGTCTAATGCCCAGGGACCATTTGTGTGAAGCTTGCCGAGACCTACCTTCAAGTTAGATGGTCTTTGTCATCCTGGTAAGCAGCACTGTTTGTATCCCACTAGCAGGTATAGCTATGCCTTCTGAGGACACGGGTCTATGATGACAAACCAAGGCATGAAGAGAGGTGATGACAAAATATCATGCAGAGGTTGCGGCTGCTGAGGCCCAGGCTAAAGGACAGGGGAGAAATGGTGGACTACTCCCATTAGGCCTTTCTCATAGGCCAGAGCACGGTCCCTCATTCACCCAGCAGTGTTTCCCTTCTGGGGTATCCTGTTAAGTCCAGGTGCTCTTCTTTAGGGGAGCATGAGTCCTGCCAAGGAAGGCACTTTTTGGCGAAATCTATGTATGTCAAGCACCGGCATTGGCACAACTCTCATTTCCATCTCTTCTCTTCTGCATTTCAGTAAACAAGGATGCAGACTTTGTGCCCCAATCTTTTCACCTTCAGGTAGGTGGAAATATCAGCTTATGTACCTATGTGTCCTTTGGATATGCTCCTTCAAACATTAGATAACAAGTCCTTCTTTGAATGCAGGGAAATCTAAGCAATAAAACTTGGGATCTCCCTTCCTTTAGGTAACCCAATCTGACGTGGACCATGATAAAAGGATGGTCACTAAAGATTTCTTGTCTTTTAGATTTCCAATTAGTAGATATTTGGTAACTGAGTTGTGAATTTTGGAAGAGATGGGACACAAGAAATGGGTCAGGACTTTCATGTCATACAAATCACACAGATCATTGATAAGTGACTGTATTTTTCTAATACCTTCCATACTGAATGTTACTGCCTTGGCAAGAGATTCAAGCTCTCCCTGTGCCAGGACATATTCATGCTCCAGTCTTGCATAGATGCTGCACAGGAGTGTCAAGTGTGAAGGCATGGGACTGTAGGTAGAACACTAGGTTACCTTACTGAGGGTCAAAAAGGAGACAATGACTCACAGTTTATTAGTGGAGTAATGTACACATCTGTAAGTCAAACTCAGATAACTTTTTTGTGCTAGGTTTAGAGTACTTGTACTGCCATACAGGCATCAGGTCACATGAAGCAATTTGACAGTTTGCAACTGACTAGACATACCAATCTTGGCCTACATGAACAGGCTCTGAATCATGTGGTTACCCACTCACCAGACAAAATTCGCATGAAATATCAAACTCACGAATGACAACCCAAGTTATAAAGGCCACCATCTTTAATGTGATAAGGAATTGGCGAAGACGACAGTTGAGGGCATGCTCTGGATGTCGTGCTTAGGCAGTTAAGATATATGAAGTTATGCATCCTAAAATGGTGAGTAGTCAATAATGTCAGAGTGAAATGGGTAGCTCTAAGAAGTGCAGTTGAGATATCTTGGACCTTGTAAGACACAGGGAATGATCAGATTGTAAAGTGTTTTCACCAAGACTATAATATGCCCTCCCTATGTTGTTTCACCTCGTGCAATAAATGCTGGAATTGCGGATGAGGATGAAAACTGTGAAGGGTTAAACTTGGCTAGGTGTGCAAACAGGTAAATGCATTTGCAATTTGCCGTTATGTACGCCAAATCGCTGATTATCAATGTACCCAATCATCATAATCTAAGTTTTGAGCATTCCAAACCTGAGCATTACAATTCCGCTGACACTGATTTTCAAATTTGGAACCCTAATGTTTTCCTTGACTGAGACAAATGCTTCTGGTTGATACCCTGCAGGAGTATTTGTGTGAAGCTTGCCGAGACCTAACTTCAAGTTAGATGGTCTTTGTCTTCCTGGTAAGCAGCACTGTTTGTATCCCACTAGCAGGTATAGCTATGCCTTCTGAGAACACGGGTCTATGATGAAAAACCAAAGGCATGAAGTGAGGTGATGACAAAATATCATGCAGAGGTTGTGGCTGCTGAGGCCCTGGCTAAAGGACAGGGGAGAAATGGGGGACTAGTCCCATCAGGCCTTTCTCATATGCCAGTGCACAGGCCCTCATTCACCCAGCAGTGTTTCCCTTCTGGGGTATCCTGTTAACTCCAGGTGCTCTTCTTTAGGGGAGCATGAGTCCTGCCAAGGAAGTCACTTTTTGGCGAAATCTATGTATGTCAAGCACCGGCATCAGCACACTTCTCATTTCCATCTCTTCTCTTCTGTATTTCAGTAAGCGAGGATGCAGACTTTGTGCCCCAATCTATTCACCTTCAGATAGGTGGAAATATCAGCCTATGTACCTACGTGTCCTTTGGATATGCTCCTTCAAACATTAGATAACAAGACCTTTTGGAATCCAGTGAACTCTAAGCCAAAAAACTTGGGTTCTCCTTTCCTTTAGGGAACCCAATCTGACTTAGACCATGATAAAAGGATGGTCACTAAAGATTTCTTGTCTTTTATATTTCCAATTAGTAGATATTACTTAACTGAGTTGTGATATTGGAACGGATGGGAAAAAAGAAATGGGTCAGGACTTTCAGGCCATTCAAATCACACTGTTCATTGATAAGTGAATGTAGTTTTCAAATACCTTCCATACTGATTGTTACTGCCTTGGCAAGAGCTTCATGTTCTCACTGTGCCAGGACGTGTTCATGATCCAGTCTTGCATAGATGCTTCACAGGAGTGTCAAGTGTGAAGGCAAAGGACTGCAGGTAGAACAATTGGTTACCTTACTGAGGGTCTAAAAGGAGACAGAGACTCACAGTTTACCAATGGAGTAATGTACACATCTGCAAGTCAAACTCAGATAACTTTTTTGTGTTACGTTTAGAGAACTTGTCCTGCCATGCAGGCCTCAGGTCACATGAAGCAATTTGACAGTTTGCAACTGACTAGGCATACCACTCTTGTCCTACATGAACAGGCTCTGCATCATGTGGTTACCCACTCACCAGACAAAATTCGCATGAATGGTCAAACACATGAATGACATCCCAAGTTATGAAGGTCACAATCTTTAATGTGATAAGTAATTGGCTAAGACGACAATTGAGTGCATCCTATAAATGTGGTTCTTGGGCAGTTAAGATACATGAAGTTATGCATACTAAAATTGTGAGTAGTCAATAATGTCAGAGTGAAATGGGTAGCTCTAAGAAGAGCAGTTGAGATATCTTGGGCCTTGTAAGACACAGGGAATGATCAGATGGTAAAGTGTTTTCACCAAGACTATAATATGCCCTCCCTATGTTGTTTCACCTCGTGCAATAAATGCTGGAAATGCGGATGAGGATGAAATCTGATAAGCGTTAAACTTGGCTAGGTTTGCAAACAGGTAAATGTATTTGCAATTTGCCATTATGTACCCCAAAGCCCTGATTATCAATGCACCCAATCATCATAATCTAAGTTTTGAGCATTCCAAACCTGAGCAATGAATTTTGCTAACACTGATTTTCAAATTTGGAACCTTAATGTTTTCCTTGACTGAGACAACTGCTTCTGGTTGATACCCTGCAGGAGTCTAATGCCCACGGACCATTTGTGTGAAGTTTGCCGAGACATACCTTCAAGTTAGATGGTCTTTGTCCTCCTGGTAAGCAGCACTGTTTGTATCCCACTAGCTGGTACAGCTATGCCTTCTGAGGACACGGGTCTATGATGACAAACCAAAGGCATGAAGAGAGGTGATGACAAAATATCATGCAGAGTTTGCGGCTGCTGAGGCCCAAGCTAAAGGACAGGGGAGAAATGGGGGACTAGCCAGATCAGGCCTTTCTTATAGGACAGTGCACAGGCCCTCATCAACCCAGCAGTGTTTCCCTTCTGGGAAATCCTGTTAAGTCCAGGTGCTCTTCTTTAGTGGATCATGAATCCTGCCAAGGAAGGCACTTTTTGGCGAAATCTATGTATGTCAAGCTGACCAGAATCAGCACACTTCTCATTTCCATTTCTTCTCTTCTGCCTTTCAGTAAACGAGGATGCTGACTTTGTGCCCCAATCTTCTCACCTTCAGGTAGGTGGAAATATCAGCCTATGTACCTACGTGTCCTTTGGCTATCCTCCTTCAAACATTAGATAACAAGTCCTTCCTGGACCCCGTGAAATCTAAGCCATAAAACTTGGGTTCTCCCTTCCCTTAGGGAACCCAATCTAACTTAGACCGTGATAAAAGGATGGTCACTAAGGATTTCTTGTCTTTTGGATATCCAATTAGTAGATATTTGGTAACTGAGTTGTGAATTTTGGAACAGATGGGACACAAGAAATGGGTCAGGACTTTCATGCCATTCAAATCACACAGTTCATTGATAATTGAATATATTTTTCAAATACCTTCCATGCTGAATGTTACTGCCTTGGCAAGAGATTCAAGTTCTCACTGTGCCAGGACGTATTCATGCTCCAGTCTTGCATAGACGTTGCTCAGGAGTGTCCCGGAGTGTTCAGGCCCAGGATTGCAGGGAGAACACTAGGTTACCTTTCTGAGGGTCAAAAGGGAGACAGTGACTCACAGTGATCTTGTGGAATAATGTACACAACAGTATAATAAATTTAGATACCAATTTTGTTTGTTAGGATTAATGAACTTGTCCTGATATGCAGGCAACAAGCCACATGAGGCAATTCGACAAATTGCACCGGGACAGGCATTGCCCTCTTGCCATAGATGCACAGGCTCACCATTATGTGGATACCCACTCACCAGACAAATTCATATGAAATGTCAAACACATGAACGACATTCCAAGTTATAAAGGCCACCATGCTTCATGTGATAAGGTAATGGCTAAGACAACAGTTGACGGCATCCTATAAATGTGGTGCTTGGGCAGTTATGATACATGAAGTTATGCATCCTAAAATGGTGAGTAGTCAATGATGTCAGGATGAAATGGGAAGCTCTAAGCAGAGCAGCTGAATTTCTTGTACCTTGAAAGACACAGTAAATGATGAGATGCTAAAGTGTTTTCACCAAGACTATAATATGCCCTCCCTATGATGTTTTACCTCATGCAATAAATGCTGGAAGTGCGGATGAGAATGAAAACTGTGAAGGGTTAAACTTGGCTAGGTGTGCAAACAGGTAAATGCATTTGAAATTTACCATTATGTACCCCAAAGCCCTGATTATCAATGCACCCAATGATCATAATCTATGTTTTGGGCATTCCAAACCTGAGCATTGCAACTCTGTTGACACTGACTAGTAAATTTGGAACCCTTATATTTTACTTGACTGAGACAACTGCTTCTGCTTGATACCCTGCAGGATTCTAATGCCCGCAGGCCATTTGTGTGAACCTTGCCGAGACCTACCTGCATGTTAGATGGTTTTTGTCATCATGGTAAGCAGCACTGTTTGTATGCCACTAGCAGGTATAGCTATGCCTTCTGAGGACACGGGTCTATGATGACAAACCAAAGGCATGAAGAGAGGTGATGACAAAATATCATGCAGAGTTTGAGGCTGCTGAGGCCCAGGCTAAAGGACAGGGGAGAATTGGGGGACTAGTCCCATCAGGCCTTTCTCATAGGCCAGTGCACAGGCCCTCTCTCACCCAGCAGTGTTTCCCTTCAGGGAAATTCTGTTAAGTCCAGGTGCTCTTCTTTAGGGGAGCATGAGTCCTGCCAAGGGAGGCACTTTTTGGCGAAATCTATGTATGTCAAGCTTACTGGCATCAGCACTCTTCTCATTTCCATTTCTGCTCTGCTGCATTTCAGTAAACGAGGATGCAGACTTTGTGCCCCAATCTTTTCACCTTCAGGTAGGTGGAAATATCAGCCTATGTCCCTACGTGTCCTTTGGATATCCTCATTCAAACATTTGATAACAAGACCTTCTTGGAATCCAGTGAAAACTAAGCCATAAAACTTGGGTTTTCCCTTCCTTTAGACAACCCAATCTAACTTAGACCATGATAAAAGGATGCTCACTAAAGATTTCTTGTCTTTTAGATTTCCAATTAGTGAATATTTGGTAACTGAGTTGTGAATTTTGGAACAGATGGGACACAAGAATTGGGTCAGGACTTTCAGGCCATTCAAATCAAACAGTTCATTAATAAGTGAATGTATTTTTCAAATACCTTCCATACTGATTGTTACTGCCTTGGCAAGAGCATCATGATCTCACTGTGCCAGGACGTATTCATGCTCCAGTCTTGCACAGATGGTGCTCAGGGGTGTCCCGGAGTGTTCAGGCCCAGGATTGCAGGAAGATCACTAGTACACCTTTCTGGGGGTCAAAAGGGAGACAGTGAATCACATTGTTCTTGTGGAATAATGTACAAAACATTATAATAAACCTTGATACCATTTTTTTGTTCGGTGTAATGATCTTGTCCTGATAGGAAGGCAACAAACCACATGAGGCAATACAACAATGTGCAACTGGACAGGCATTGCCCTCTTGGCATAGATGCACAGGCTCAGCATTATGTGGATACCCACTCACCAAACATAAGTGACATGATATATCTGACACAGGAATGTCATCCCATGCTATAGAGTCCTACATCCTTCATGTGATAAGGAATTGGGCCAGAGATCAGTTAAAGGGATCCTATGCATGTGGTGTTTGAGAAGTTAAGAAACTTGAGGCTATACATCCTACAATGGTGAGTACTTAGTGATGTCAGAGGGAATTTGGATAGCTCTGAGCAAAGCAGATGAGATGTCTTGAACCTAGTGAGACACAGTAAATGATCAGATGGTAGAATCTTTTCACCAGTCTGATAATATCCCCTTCCAATGGTATGTCACCTTATGCATTGAATGCTGGCAGTGAGGTTGAGGAGGATACCAGTGAAGGATTAAACTTGGCTACGTGTGTCAAATGGTAACAGATTTTGCAATTTATCATAACTTCCCCCATGCACTGATTATCAATGCAGCCAATCATCACAATGTAGATACTGGGCTTTCCAAAAGTGAACATTGCATTCTTCAAACACTGACTTGCAACTTGGAACCATAAAATTTTCTTTGATTGAGACGACTGATTCTACTTGATACTCTGCAGAAATCCAATACCCGATGACCAATTATCTGAAGCTTGCCGATACCTCCTTTCTAAAGAGATGGTCTTTGTCATCCTGAAAATCAGCACTGTTAGTATCCCACTAGTAGATAGAACTATGCCTACTGAGGACACTGGTCTATGATGACAAACCAACGACATGAAGAGAGGTGATGACATAAATATCATGCTGTGGTTGGGGCTGCTGAGACCCAGGCTAAAGGACAGGGGAGAAATGGGGGAATAGTCCCGTCAGGCCTTTATCATAGGCCAGTGCACAGGACCTCATTCACCAAACAGTGTTTCCCTTTTGGGGAATCCTGTTAAGCCCAGGTTCTCTTGTAAGGGGAGCATGAGTCCTGCCAAGAACGGCACTTTTTGGCGAAATCTATGTATGTCAAGCTGACTGGCATCAGCACACTGCTCATTTCCATATCTTCTCTTCTGCATTTCAGTGACCGAGGATGCAGATTTGGTGCCCCAATCTTTTCACCTTCAGGTAGGTGGAAATATCAGTTTAAGTACCTATGTGTTTTTTGATATCCTCCTTCAAACATTAGATAACAAGACCTTCTTCGAATCCAGTGAAATCTAAGCCATAAAATTTGGGTTCTCCCTTCCTTTAGGGAACCCAATCTGACTTAGACCATGAAAAAAAGGATGGACACTAAAGATTTCTTGCCTTTACATTTCTAAGTAGTAGATACGCGGTAACTGAGCTGTGAATTTTGGAACACATGGGACACAAGAAATGGGTCAGGACTTTAAGGCCATTCAAATCACACAGCTCATTGATAGGTGAATATATTTTTCAAATACCTTCCATACTGATTGTTCTGGTTTGGAAAGAGCTTCATGTTATCACTGTTCCAGGAAGTATTCATGCTCCAGTCTTGCATAGATGTTGCTCAGGAGAGTCCAGGGTTCAGGCCCAGGGTTGCAGGGAGATTACTAGGTTACATTTCTGAGGGTCATAAGGGAGACAGTGACTCAAAGTGTTCTAGATGAATAATGAACACAACAGTATAATAAACTTAGATACCATTTCTTTTTGTGAGGATTAGTGAACTTGTCCTGATATGCAGGCTACAAGCCACTTGAGGCCATTCGAAAATTTGCAACTGGACAGGCATTCCCATCTTGGCATAGATGCACAGGCTCAGCATTTTCTGGATACGCACTCACCACACATAAGTGACATGATATATCAAAAATAGGAATGTCATCCCAAGCTCTATAGACCTCCATTCTTCTTGTGGTAAGTATTTGGGCAAGAGACAAGGTGAAGGGATCCTATGCATGTGGTGCTTGAGAAGTTAAGAAACTTGAGGTTATACATCCTACAATGGTGAGTACTCAGTGATGTCAGAGAGAACTTTGATAGCTCTGTGCAGAGCAGATGACATGTCTTGAACCTAGTGAGACACAGTAAATGATCAGATGGTAAAATCTTTTCACCAGGCCTATAATATGTCCTTCCAATGGTCTGTCACCTCATGCATTGAATGCTGGCAGTGAGGTTGAGGAGGAAACCAGTGAAGGGTTAATCTTGTCTAGCTGTGGCAAAAGGTAACTGCTTTTCCAATTTATCATTATCTTCCACTAAGCACCGAATATTATTGCACCCAATCATCGCAATGTAGATTTGGCTTTCCAACACTGAGCATTGCAATTCTGCTGACACTGACTTGCATCTTGGAACCATAAAATTTTCCTTGACTAAGACGACTGATTCTGCTTGATACCCTGAAGAAATTTAATACCCAATGACCATTTGTGTGAAGCCGGTGGAGACCTACATTCTAAATAGATGGTTTCTGTCATCATGCAAAGCACCACTGTTTGTATCTCATTAGCAGGTAAAGCAATGCCTCCAGAGGACAAGGGTCTATGATGACAAACCAACGTCATGAAGAGAGGTGATGACATACATATCATGCTGGGGTTGTGGCTGCTGAGACCCAGCCTAAAGAAGAGGGGAGAAATAGGGGACTAATCCCATCAGGCCTTTCTCTTAGGCCAGTGCACAGGACCTCATTCACCCAGCAGTGTTTCCCTTCTGGGGAAACCTCGGCTCTCCCTCCCTCTTTGGAATCCAATCTGACTAAGACCATGCAAAAAGGATGGTCATTAATGTTTTCTTATCTTTTAGATTTCCAATTAGTAGATATTTGGTAACTGAGTTGGGAATTTTGGAACAGAGGGGACACAAGAAATGGGTCAGGACTTTCAGGCCATTCAAATCAAATAGTTCATTGATAAGTGAAAGTATTTTTCAAGTACCTTCCATACTGATTGTTACTGCCTTGGCAAGAGCTTCATGTTCTCACTGTGCCAGGACGTATTCATGCTCCAGTCTTGCATAGATGTTGCTCAGGAGTGTCCCGGAATGTTCAGGCCCAGGATTGCAGGGAGATCACTAGGATACCTTTCTGAGGGCAAAAAGGGAGACAGTGACTCACAGTGTTCTTGTGGAAAAATGTACACAAAAATATAATAAATTTAGATACCAATTTTGTTTGTTAGGATTAATGAACTTGTCCTGATATGCAGGCAACAAGCCACATTAGGCAATTCGACAATGTGCAACTGGACATGCATTGCCCTCTTGCCATAGATGCACAAGCTCAGCATTATGTGGACACCCACTCACCAAACATAAGTGACATGATATTTCTAACACAGGAATGTCATCCCATGCTAAATATGCCTACATCCTTCAAGTGATATGGAATTGGCCACAGATCAGTTGAAGGGATCCTATGCATGTGGTGCTTGGGAAGTTAAGAAACTTGAGGTTATACATCCTACAATTTTTAGTACTCCGTGATGTCAGAAGTAAGTTGGAAAGCTCTGTGCAGAGCCGAAGAGATGTTTTGAACCTAGTGAGACACAGTAAATGATCAGATGGTAGAAACTTTTCACCAGGCATATAATATGCCCTTGTAATGATCTGAAACCTCATGCATTGAATGCTGGCAGTGAGGATGATGAGGAAACCAGTGAAAGGTCAATCTTGTCTAGGTGTGCCTAAAGGTAACTGCATTTGCAATTTGTCATTATCTTCCCCTAAGCACCGATTGTCAATGCACCCAATCATCGCAATGTAGATATTGGGCTTTCCAAAACTGAGCATTGATATTCTGCTGACACTGACTTGCATCTTGGAACCATAAAATTTTCCTTGACTATGACGACTGCTTCTGCTTTATACCCTGCAGGAGTCTAATGCCCGCGGACAATTTGTGTGAAGCTTGCGGTGACCTACCTTCAAGTTAGATAGTCTTTGTCATCCTGGTAATCAGCACTGTTTGTATCCCACTAGCAGGTATAGCTATGACTTCTGAGGACAAGGGTCTATAATGACAAACCAACGTCATTAAGAGAGTTGATGACATAAATATCATGCTGTGGTTGGGGCTGCAGAGACCCAGGCTAAAGGACAGGGGAGAAATGGGGGAATAGTCCCATCAGGCCTTTCTCATAGGTCAGTGCACAGGCCCTCATTTACCCAGCAGTGTTTCCCTTCTGGGGAATCCTGTGAAGTCCAGGTGCTCTTTTTTTAGGGGAGCATGTGTTCTGCCAAGGAAGGCACTTTTTGGCGAAATCTATGTATGTCAATCTTGCCAGCAGCATCAATCTGCTCATTTCCATCTCTTCTCTTCTGCATTTCTGTGAATGAGGATGCATACTTGGTGGCTCAATCATTTCACCTTCACGTTCGTCGAAATATCACCTTAAGTACCTAGATCACCTTTAGATATCCTCCTTTATTTTTTTTTCTTTTTTATCATTTTTATTTTAATTTTAAATAGCTTGTTTTACATGTCAATCCCAGTTCCCTCTCCCTCTCCTCCTCCCGTACTCCCCTTGCCCCCTCCCTCCAACCCTATTGCCAAATCCTTCCCCAAAAGGGGATATCTAGAGTCTGTCATTTTACTCTTGATAGGTTCCAGGCACTCCCCTAAGAGTCCAGGCTGAGAGAGCATCAATCTTTGTGCTATAGGCACACGAAGACAGTTTGTGTACCAGGGATACACACTGATCCACAGCTCAGGGCCCCATAGGTTGCCCAGGCCTTCTCACTGACACTCACATTTGGGGGGTCCAGATCAGTCCCATTCTGGCCTCCCCACTGTCGTTCTGGTGTCCAAGAGCTCTCCCCTGTTCAGTTCAGCTGTCTCTGCTGATTTTGCCAGCCCATTCTTGGCCAATTTGCTCATCACTCCTCTCTCTCTGTCACTGGGTTCCTTGGGTTCAGTTCAGTGCTTAATTGTGTGTTTGCCTCTGCTTCAATCAGTCACAGGATGAAGGCTCCCGGATGGTTATAGACATCAAGTTCATTATCAGGAATGGGCATTCGAGGTGGTCCCTCCAGTATTGCTTAGCTTGCCAATTGTTGTTATCCCTTTAGATCACTCGAGGTCACTCTGGTGCCTGATCTGTCTTCGAAACTATGATTCCCTCTTCCCCCTATTCTACCCCCACCCCCTCAACCCCCTGCTCCCCCATGACCAACTCCCTTCCTCTTCACCCCCTCTCTTCTTTTTTTTAAATTGTATTTTCCAGTTTAAATTTAGATAAGAAATAAGGTTGCTTCTCAAGTTAGTTCCAGGTCCCTCTCCCATTCCCTCCCTTCCTCCCGAGCCCTCCCCCCCCGTTATCCCCTCATTTCCCCAGGGAGGGTGAGGCCCTCCATGGGGGTGTGCATAGTCTGTCATTTCATATAGGGCAGGGCCTAGACCCTTCCCCAAGAGTTCGGGGTGAGAGTGCACCTCACATTGTTCTATGGGAGTCCAAAGTCCGTGTGTATACTTGGGATGGGTACTGATCTGCTGCCCAAGGCTCAATAGATTCCCTAGGCCTCCTCACTGACACCCAGATTCAGGGGGTCTTGATCAGTCCCATGATGGCTTCCCAGGCTGATGCCTGGGATTCAGAGTTAACCTTTGTCTGGTCATCTGTTTCTGGGGGTTAAACCAGTCCAATCTTAATCCCTTTGATCATCAGTCCTCCCTCTCTGTTACTGGCTTACTTGAGTTCAGCTCAGTACTTAACCAAGGGAGTTTGCCTCTTCTTCGATCAGCCACTAAATAAAGTTTCTGTTTCCCAGACTCTCTGGCCATAGGATTGTAGGCTGGCACTCCCCAGATCTATGTCTAAAATCCATATATGAGAGAGTACATGCCATGTTTCTCTTTTTGTGACTGGGTTACTTCACTCAGGATGGTTTCTTCTAGTGTCATCCTTTTGCCTGAGAATCTCATGATTCCATTATTTTTTTCTGCTGAATAGTACTCCATTGTGTAGATGTACCACATTTTCTCTATCCACTCTTCAGGTGAGGGACATCTAGGTTGCTTCCAAGTTCTGGCTATTACAAATAAAGCTGCTATGAACATACTGGAACAGACATCTTTGTTGTATGAATGGGCATCTTTGGGATATATGCCTAAGAGTGGAGTTGCTGGGTCTTGTGGTATGTTTATTCCCATTTTTCTGAGGAATCTCCATACTGCTTTCCAAAGTGGCTGAACCAGTTGGCACTCCCACCAGCAATGGAGGAGTGTCCCCCTTTCACCACATCCTCTCCAGCATAAATTGTCATTGGTGTTTTTTTTTTGGTTTTTGTTTTATTATTAATATTTTTTTTATTTTCCATTTTAAATTTAGATAAGAAACAAGGTTGCTTCACAAGTCAGTACGAGGTCCCTCTCCCTTTCCCTCCCCTCCTCCCGTGCCCTCCCCCCATCCCCCCCTGTTATCCCCTCATTCCCCCAGGGAGGGTGAGGCCCTTCATGGGGGTGTCCATATTCTGTCATTTCATATAGGGCAGGGCCTAGACCCTTCCCCAAGAGTTCAGGGTGAGAGTGCACCTCACATTGTTCTATGGGAGTCCAGAGACCATGTGTATACTTGGGATGGTTACTGATCTGCTGTCCAAGGCTCAATAGATTACCTAGGCCTCCACACTGACACCCAGATTCAGGGGGTGTTGATCAGTCCCATGCTGGATTCCCAGGCTGATGCCTGGGATTCAAGAGTTAACCTTTGTCTGATCAGCTGTTTCTGGGGGTTCAACCAGCCCAGTCTTAATCCCTTTGATCATCAGTCCTCCCTCTCTGATACTGGCTTTTTTTGACTTCAGCTCAGTACTTAACCAGCCAGTAAATGAAGTTTCTGTTTCCCAGACTCTCTGGCAATAGGATTGTAGGCTGGCACTCCCCAGATCTATGTCTAAAATCCATATATGAGAGAGTACATGCCATGTTTCTCTTTTTGTGACTGGGTTACCTCACTCAGGATGGTTTCTTCTAGTGTCATCCATTTGCCTGCGAATCTCATGATTCCATTATTTTTTTCTGCTGAATAGTACTCCATTGTGTAGATGTATCACATTTTCTCTATCCATTCTTTGGGTGAGGGACATCTAGGTTGCTTCCAAGTTCTGGCTATTACAAATAAAGCTGCTATGAACATAGTGGAACAGACATCTTTGTTATATGAATGGGCATCTTTTGGATATATGCCTAAGAGTACAGTTGCTGGGTCTTGGGGTAGGTTTATTCCCATTTTTCTGAGGAATCTCCATACTGCTTTCCAAAGTGGCTGAACCAGTTGGCACTCCCACCAGCAATGGAGGAGTGTCCCCCTTTCACCACATCCTCTCCAGCATAAATTGTCATTAGTGTTTTTGATTTTAGCCATTCTGACAGGAGTGAGATGGTATCTCAGAGTTGCTTTGATTTGCATTTCCCGGATGGCTAAGGATGTTGAGCACTTTTTCAAGTGCCTCTCAGCCATTTTAGACTCCTCTATTGAAAACTCTCTATTTAGTTCTGCAGCCCACTTCTTAATTGGGTCCTTTGCTGTTTTGGAGACTTGCTTCTTGAGTTCTTTGTAAATTTTGGAGATCAACCCTCTGTCAGATGTGGGATTAGTGAATATTTTTTCCCATTCTGTGGGCTGCCTTTTTGTCTTGCTGACTGTGTCCTTTGCCTTACAGAAGCTTCTCAGTTTCAGTAGGTCCCATTTATTAATTGTTGATCTCACTGTCTGTGCTACTTGTGTTATGTTCAGGAAGCTGTCTCCTGTACCAATTCGTTCAAGTGTACCACCCACTTTCTCTTCTAAGAGGTTCAGTGTGGCTGGATTTATGTTGAGGTCTTTGATCCATTTGGACTTAAGTTTTGTGCATGGCGATAAACATGGATCGATCCGCATTTTTCTACATGCCAGTCTCCAATTATGCCAGCACCATTTGTTGAAGATGCTTTCTTTATTCCATTGTATATTTTTAGCTTCTTTGTCAAAGATCAGATGTTCGTACGTGTGTGGGTTAATACCCGGATTTTCAATTCGATTCCATTGGTCTGCCTGTCTATTTTTGTGCCAATACCAAGCTGTTTTCAGGACTATAGCTCTATAATAGAGCTTGAGGTCAGGGATAGTGATGCCTCCGGACGTTGCCTTGTTGAACAGGGTTGTTTTGGCTATCCTGGGTCTTTTGTTTTTCCATACAAAATTGATTATTGTTCTTTCAAGGTCTGTGAAGAATTGTGCTGGGATTTTAATGGGGATAGCATTGAATCTGTAGATTGCTTTTGGCAGGATTGCCATTTTTACTACATTGATCCTACCTATCCAAGAGCATGGGAGATCTTTCCATTTTCTTAGGGCTTCTTTAATTTCTTTCTTTAAAGATTCAGAGTTCTTACGATACAGGTCTTTCACTTGTTTGGTTAGCGTTACCCCAAGGTATTTTATGTTGTTTGTGGCAATTGTAAAGGGTGATGTTTCTCTGATTTCTCTTTCAGACCTTTTATCATCTGTATATAGTAGGGCTACTGACTTTCTTGAGTTGATCTTGTAACCTGCCACTTTGCTGAAGGTGTTAATCAGCTGTAAGAGTTCCCTGGTAGAGTTCTTTGGGTCATTGATGTAAACTATAATATCGTCTGCAAACAGTGAAAGTTTGACTTCTTCCTTCCCAATTTGTATCCCCTTGATCCCCCTTTGTTGTCGTATGGCTATAGCTAGAACTTCAAGTACCATGTTGAAAAGGTATGGAGAGAGTGGACAGCCTTTTTTGTTCCTGATTTTAGAGGAATTGCGTTGAGTTTCTGTCCATTTAGTTTGATGTTGGCTGTTGGTTTACTGTATATGGCTTTTATTATGTTTAAGTATGTCCCTGTTATCCCAGATCTCTCCAAGACCTTTATCATGAAGGGGTGTTGGATTTTGTTAAAGGCTTTTTCAGCATCTAGTGAGATGATCATGTGATTTTTGTTTTTCAGCTTGTTTATATGGTGGATTACGTTGATGGATTTTCGTATGTTGAACCATCCCTGCATCCCTGGGATGAAACCTACTTGATCGTGGTGAATGATTGTTTTGATGTGTTCTTGGATCCGATTTGCCAGTATTTTATT